TGGGAGCCTAGGTCCTGGTCACTGGCTTTGTGTGCTGGGGCCTTTTATGTTGGCAATTGGAGGCTGTAGGGTTCTGGCAGCTTACCTGGTGTTGGGCTGTAATCAGCAAGGCTGGGACTTTCAGGCAAATCTAGGTTGCCTGCTTTTCCTTTCCTTTAGCTTTGTTCAGCTCCTTTTAGATAGATGCTGCAGGGTGTTTATCTGCCTGGGGCGCCTTGCAGTGCTGCCTCCCTTAGTTCTGTTGAGGTACTGGGAGACTCCTTTGCTGTAGAATGCTGAGGTACCTGATGGTTTTCTGAGCTGGTTTCCACGGGTTTCCCTGCCCTCACTGCAGCACTCGGAGGTCCAGCTGTTGGCGTTTGCCTGCTCGACCACCTGGGCTTCAGGATCTCCTCCTGGTGGGCCATTGAAGGCTGCAGGGTTGTGACAGCTTACCTGATGTTGGGCTGGAATCAGCAAGGCTGGAACTGTCGGGCAACTCTAGGTTGCTTTCTTTCTTTGATCTTTTCTTTCTATCATGTGATTCCTTGATGACATCTTTTATTCCTGTTCTTTTATTTACTTCCTCACTGGCGTATATTGCAGCCAGCTCCCACCCACCATGCACCTTTCTCTTGCCCTCTCTTGATTTTTAGTTTTTTAGATGCAATGATATTCTTTGTCTTGCTGCCATATAGTAATACTGACAAAAATTATGCATTTTGGAGAGATAGACCTTTGTTTTCATGGGAAAGTAGAGGGTCAAGAAAAAAGCTTTTCAATTTCCTTAAGACATCCATCCTGCACTCCTCCTCCTGTTCAGTTCGGGGCCCAACTTATTTGTCTGCCTTTACTGTCTGTCCCATATACACATATTGCTGTATAAGCTTAACCAGGTGTCCTTCCAAATGCATATTGTTATCTAGGGCAATAGATATTCTTCATCCCCGTGTTCTTTCCCATGAGGATGGACAGGCCAACTCCATTGAGTGACTACAATTCGTTCTGGAGTTTGATACAACCAGCACAATGTCCTCCTCAAATAGGAGTGTCTGGAGGACCTCACCATCTACAGAGTAGCCATCTTTGACCTAGATTCTGCACTATATTTCCTCTCTCACAGTGATAAATACCTTTTGCAGGCATGTCTCTCTGTTTTATGCTTTATTTGATGTTTATTCTCATACGGTCATTTCATTTTCAGTGATGATGTTTGATAAATATTTATTTATTTACTTATCTGATTGCATTGAGGCCCTCAGTTTACCAAACTGTTGTTCTCTGTTGTCAACATGAGTTTTAAATTAGATATCCCTGGAGGTTAGGCACATTTTTGCTTATCTGAGCTGTGTAGCTCCCAGATCTTTATGCAATGCCAGATGCATTAATAAATGCTATATTGTGCCCTTAGCAGTATCGGAAGAAATGAAAGTGAAAAGCTTTTTCTACTTCCTCTTCTTTACTCCTCTCTAAAAAAAAGAAAAGGAGTTGAACAATTAACATTACTTAGGAAAACCAACTGGCTGCAGAGACAGTATTTCCTTCCTTATTTCATCCTAATTATTTAGTTCTATTTTGTGATCAGTCAAACTCCTAGTATTTTTCTAAGGCTAATTTGTTGTTGTTTAGTCATTTTTCAGTCATGTCCAACTCTTTGTGACCCCTTTGGGGACTTTCTCAGTAAAGATACTGGGGTGATTTACCATTTCCTTCTATCTAAGGCTAAGCAGTTGTCTAAAATTTTAGTTGCTGTTGTTGACAGACTTTGTTTTGACAAATCTAAGAGCTCTGACCTTGGAGTTAGGAGGACCTGAGTTCAAGTCTGGCCTCAGATACTTACTAGCTGTGTGACCCTGGGCAAGTCACTTAGCCCTGATTGCCTCAAAAAAAAAAAAAGAAAAAGAAATCTATACAAATTTACAATCAAGTCTTCCACAAGGCATGTGTTTTCACCTTAATAAATTAGCATCAATGTTTTCCACTATTTTAAAGTATCCCAAAAGGGACACCTGCAGCTTTTGTCATTTAATGCTATCTTTGTTTACATAATTGTTGGCAGAATGTATATTGTTTTTTCTGTTCTGTTTTCTGCACTCTGTACCATGTTATACACAGCTTCTCATACCTGAATTCTTCATCTTTTTTCCTTTATGACACACTAATATATACTCTGATTTGTCCAGCTATTCTCCCAATTTAATCATTGGGCAAGTGGTTTCCTTTTTACCTTTTTGCTATTACAAATAGTATCACTATCAGTATATTGTATGGACATGGACTTATCTTTCTGTCATTGATCTCTTTGGTATGTAAAACAAACAGTGGAAGGACGTGGTTAAAGAGTATAAATAAATTTTCAATAATTTTTCTTATAAAATTCCAAATTGTTTTCCAAAATGCTTGGAGTAATTCACATCTCTACCAGCAGTGAATTCATGTGACTATTTTCCACAGCCTCTCCAACATAAATTTTTTTTTTTTTGCATTGTCATAGGGGTATGATGGTAGATATTGTAGCATTCCAAGTTTGGCCATGGAGTACAAAATGAGGCAGGGCTGACATTAATAGAGTTTTGTCAAGGTAACTTGCTGTAAGTAAGCACTCTTTTTTAACAACCCAAAAGACAGCTCTATACATGAACAACACTAGATGATCCATATAGAAATCAGACTGATTATACACTTTGCAGTCAAACATGGAGAAACTTTACATAGTCAGTTAAAAAAAAGACCTGGAGCTGACTGTGGTTTAGATCATGAGCTTCTTGTTGTGAAATTCAGACTTAAAATTAAATTCAGACTTAAATTGAAGAAAGTAGGGGAAACCATCAGACCATATAGTGTGACCTAAATAACATCTCTTATGTATATGAAGTGGAAGTGAAGAATAGATATAAGGAACTAGATCTGGTAGATAGAGTGCCTGAAGAACTATGGACAGGGGTTCACAATATTGTGCAAGAGGTAGCAACAACAACAACAACAAAATCCCAAAGAAAAAGAAGAGCAAAAAAGCAAAATGGCTGTTTGATGTTTTAACAAATAACTAAGGAAAGAAGTAAAGCTAAAGGTAAAGGAGAAAGGGAAAGATATGAATGCAGAATTCCATAGAACGGCAAGGAGAGATAAGATTTTCTTAAATGAGCAATGCAAAGAAATCGAAGAAAACGATAGAATGGAAAAGATAAGCTATCTCTTCAGGAAAATTAGAGATATTAAGGGAATGTTCCATGCAAGAAAGATCTTAACGTCACTGATAACCACGAAAATGTAATTGCTGCTGTAGAGTCAGACATCTTAGAAAATGAAGTCAAGTAGGCCTTAGGAAGCATTGCTAACAATAAGACTAGTGGAGGTGATTGAATTCCAGCTGAGTTACTTAAAATCCTAAAAGAAAATGCGTTTATATTATTACATGTCCACAGATTGAAACATGACACATGCCTTGGAAACAATGGGGATTTAATGTGGCATGATGAATCTAAGTGGTTGGAGACCTACTATATGTAGACCCTCAAATTCAGCATAATTATGTTTCTATCAACATAGTTACTGAACATCATTGATTTGTTAAATGGTTCATATACTGGAACAGAAACATTTACCTTAATTTCACTGTTTTTGTCAGACTGCTAGATCACTTACAAAGCACTTAACCACTGAATCCAGTGGACTGACTAAAAGTTGACTATTTGTTAAATATTTTTGTGGGGGCAATTATAGGGATTGGTCAGGCATTCCATTTTAATGTCTAACTTCTGGGTTTGTCTCATTTCCAATTTATACAGAAGGTTCTAATTATGAGATTGTGCTGAGGGAAAAAAAACAGGTCTTAAATATGCTAATACTGAATTTTAAAATAGCTTCATAAAGTTTTGATCCATTTCCATTTCATGGGAAAACAGAAAACAGAAAAATTTTAAATACTCCCACTTTCCCATTTAAGGAAGGAATAAGTACTTGTTAGGTACCTATTATGTGTCAGAGATTATGCTAAATGCTTTACAAATATTATCTCATTTGATCCTAAAAACAACCCTGGGAGGTAGGTGCACTTTTTGATCTCCATTTTCCAGTTAAAGAAACTGAGACAGAGGTTTAAGTGACTTGTCTAGTGTCACACAACTAATAAATATCTGAGGATGGATTTAATCTCAGATCTTCTTGACTCTGGATCTAGCATTCCATTGCACCAAGTGACATTGTGATTAATATTTCTATTAATTTTGTTTTGTTCAAAGTGACATCAATTTCTATAGCAGCAGTCTGACAAAAGAGAGAATCCACATTTTCCCAGACCTGAGTAAACACAATGAGCAGGAATCCACCCTTCACCTAAATTTAGGATTTCTTTACTGTCTTTGATTAGATCTTAGCTTTCCTGACTGGGTAAGTCTTTGAGCAAGATTTCCCATGCTGTTTGATTTCTAGATGAGAAAGTAGAAAAGAGGAAAAACCATGATCCTAATTCAAGAGAGAAATAATAATTTGTCTTACTTCTATTCAGTGGTCTATTAATTGACCTATGCTTTTGGCACTTTTTAAACATCAAAGAGGTTTTTGCCCCGTGAAACTCTGCCCTAAGGCAGTTGGTTGCACTAAGAAGGAAATATTATAAGGACAGGACCTTCCCAGATAACAAACTGTGGGGACATCATGATCGACGCTTTTAGGGAAATGGCGTCATTACTATGAAAATGAAGTTTTGAAGATAAGGATCAAGGGGGATAGTAGGGCTGTACATGCACACAAATGTATTTATATATTTGTATGTATGTACCCGTTGTGTATTTTTACATGTGAATTGGTCTAAACCTTAACAAAAACAACCACCAACACCACCTATAACATGCAGTTGCTGTGGGGCCCATAAGTTGGAATGTACTCAATTTACCTAGTCACACCCATGGTTGTGTCACGCTGAGAATGACACAGTATCCTTAAGCTGATCTCCACCAAGGGACAATGAGGAAGGTGACAAGTTAAGATGAACAAAATATCAAATACCTGCTCACAAAGAATTCAATCACAGAAGCAAGAGTAGAGAATTGATTATATAAAAGTGGATTCTCTATAATGATAAACAGCACTCAGGACTATGAGAGTTTCGAAACAGCAGCAGATGAAAAGATTGGACAGTGGCAGAGGAACTGAATATATTAAAAGGACCTCCAGTAAGTAGAACCAGTGTTGACACTGTGACTGGGAAGAGGTCATCCACTAGGAACTTGTGGACTATCTTCTTGTAAGTATAAATATCTTTTTTTTTTTTCCACTTTAACAGGGCTTAAATTTGTTAAGACTATGACTAGAGTGCTTGCAAGTAAGAGTTGGAGTTTGCCTTTTAAGGTATCTAAGAGATTTTCTTAGGTAAAGGCCCCCTTCCAGCTCAAAATCTTTGATTCCAAATCAACATTATTACAATGTGTATTATTATTATTGTTACAATGTGTAAACTAGCAATTATTTATTTATTCGTTTCTTTCAAGTTTCAAGGAGGGGAATCCTAAACAGGTCCATGGGGACCCTTATTTTAAACCTTCATGACTTTATAAGCTTTGAGCCTATCTTTTCTTAGATTTCCACTGCCAAGGTGGGAAAGCACCAAGACTTTGAGCTTGCAATCCAATCGATCTTAGCGTAACCCTCGCCTGCTGAAGCTGATCCTTGCGTCTCCCCCCCCGGCTCCCCCTTTCTTCGGTTGCGAGGCAGGTAGAAATGCACTCTGTGAGTAGTGTGGGTGAAGGTCGCGCCTTGGTCTGGAACTTGGGCTAGGGGACACTTCCGAGGTTGTTTTCGGACACCCCTAGGGGCTCGACCCGCGAGCCTAAGAGACCAGGATGCGCGGCTGGCAGCTGCGGGGTCCTTTTGTGGCTCCAAACTCTTCGTCGCCTCTAGTCCCTACTACATTCTCCCAGCTCTCGGGTAAGCGCGAACCCGTAACTATGGAGACGAGAAAACACGCTACCGAGGCAGGCCCGCGCTCCTCGCATCCCTGGGCTTTCCGCTTCCGTGGGATGCGGGGGCTGCGCGCGTCCCCGCGCTCCGAGTGGGCGGGGGAGGAGGAGGGAGGGGAGAAGGCAGAGCTCGTGCTTCCTTGTTGTCTAAGATTGTTCTCGGCCGAACCACAAATGCCCCAGATGCACCGGGGAGGGGGTGAGCTCGGGGAAGCAAGCACTTCCGGCTGTGGCTGGCGCGCCTGCGTACCGGGCGCTGTTGTATTGGCCCGAGAGGTCTCGTGCGATGCGTGTCACAGCGACGTGCAGCCTTGGGGCGGGGAAGACGAGGCGGTGGCGGTGGCGGCGGCGGCGGTCGCGGCGGTCGCGGCGGCGGCAGCGGCAGCGCGGACACGGACGCGTTTTCGCTGGAGCGGAGGCGGTCGCCGTAGCGGCTGGAGCGGGTTCTGCCCCCTTCCCTCCTCCGCTCCCCCTCCTTCCCCCCCTTCCCTTCTGAGGAGGCAGAGCCTGGCGCAGAGAGGCGGCGACAAGTTCCGGGTGAGGGACCCTGGAGTCCAAACAAACCCCTCTCCCCGACTGCGGACGGGGGTGACTCGGGGTGGGGGAGGGAAAGCGTTGAGGGAACCAGCCTCCCTTGTCTGTCAAAAGGACTCCCGGAGGGTGCGCGCCTCTCCTTCCCCGGCCGCAGCCTTTCTCCTGGTTGGAGGCCGAAGTCCCGTTATTTTTTCATCAGGGGCTTGTCACACCTCCCTCTCTCTTTAAAAAGGGAAGGGGTTCCTTTGCTGTCCCTGCCTCTGGAGCAGACGATTTCCCCATCCTCCTGCCATCCCAGGAGCTCCGTATCGACCTCCCACCCGAAGATCAGCCTACCAACTATTGTCTCCTATAGATGCTTTGTTTACTTGATTTCGTTTCCTCTTTACCGTGAATTTTGGGGTGCCTTTATTTACCTTTGGAAATAACTGAAAACATCCTTCATGAGTTCCTCCCATCCCATCTTTGAAGCTCCGGAGAAACATATTTACCCACTTAGACCACTTAAGATTGTGTACTTAGGGCTCTCTGCTTTTTTTTGGGATTTGCTGTTTTTCTTGTTTGACAGCTTTAGCTTCTCTCTAAATTCCACAATGAGAACTGGGTCAGAAATTTGTTTTCAAGACAGACTGAGTTTTGTGATTTTGACTGCACGCATTTCTTTTCTTTATAACTTGGGGTGTTAATTATCTGTATGTTTGTTGGTAGGTAAATCTGTCTGGTGGTACCAAGACTAGGTGGGTTGATATTGAATCCTAGGAGAGAAAACATTCTGGAGATATTGTGGAGTTGATGGAGGAATTGAATTGAAAGGCTTCCAAGCCATAGGTATTGTGCAGTGGTACCCTTTGGAACCATGTGCAAATTTTTCAACTCTTTCCCCAATCATCTTCACCAGGAGCATTTAAAAACAAATAGGGTGGGCTTACCATGTTTTTGAGAAAGTTCCAGTTCGTCCTCTATCTTCGTTCTTTTGTCCCTTCCCTCATTTCTCCTCCAGGAATGATTAGGGTCTTCTGAAGTTGCAACGAGGGAATAAGGTAAAGAATGGGGAGATGATTGTAGTTTGGGTTAGGAAGAGAGAGAGCAATACAATTCCTGTGGTGTTTGATCCCAGGGAAGAGCTTGTCTTTTGTCTTTGCCATTTGGACTTTTATCCCTGTTTCCAGAAATACAAATTTAGAAAATACCACTTATCTTCCTTTCACCGTCTTCCCCCTACCACTCCAAGAAAGCTGTTGCAAGAGGTAATTGATGTTTTAGGTGCTGAATTTCCCTTTTGGGGGGGGGTGTCATATACACTTTATCAATTCTGGTCATTGAAGTGTGTGCACCCTTACCAAAATTGGTTTCCTCCTTTCCGTTCTTTCACTATCATCTCTAATTTAGGTAGAGAGTTGATTTGAGATCATTGATTTGAAAGCTAAATATATGGTTGTCATAGTGCAGTTAACCCATCAGGGAGATGTGAGAATATTTCACACACACTGTCTCATGATAATTAACTAGTTTATTATAAAATTTGATGAGATTTTGAAGTGATCTTAGGATGAAATGCTCCTTTTCTATAAATAGTTTGCTCTTTGAAATTTAAAAGTATAGCTAATTTTCTAAGAAAAGCTAAGTCCAAAAAAAAACCTTTTGTGGTGAATCTTCTGTGGTAATTGTGAATAATAAACTGTTGTACATTAGAAACTACTGAATTTTTCTCATTAGTGGTACAAATTGCATTTACCATTTCACAATTTAACTATTAAGATTAGTTGCCTTATTAGATTAGTTCAGAGTCTGTTGCACATTTGCTGAGGACTAACTATAATACACCTACTGACAGTGTTAGAGAATTGATCCCCCCCCCCCAATTGTTATGCCAGTTCAAATAGGTTATTTCTTGTGGTACTTCATACAGTGTTATGGTGAAGTTTATTTCTCAAAGTTTCAGAATTTGGAAGTTTATGAACACTTTTCTCATAGGAAATTTACAAATTTTGTTTTCCCTAACTACCCTAAATTGTGTTGACTTGGTGTGTAATTTAGTTCTTATTCTGTTTGTCAGAGTATATAATACTAAGTTCTCAAAGGCAGTAAACTCATAACAGCAATAGTTTAAAAAAATCTGTTTCGTGCCTGTATAATTTTGTAATAACTTTTGTGGTACTTTAAGATTTAGGAAGTGTTTTACAAACAGCTTACAGTCTTGTGAAGGAGATAGCTCAAGTGTTATTGTCCCATTTTTATAGATGAGGAGGTTGAGTCACAGAGGTCAGTTGATTGCTAAGCAGTCCCCCAGCTAGAATCAAATTCAGGATTGGATCCTATGTCTTCCCCCCCCCCCCCCCAAGCTTCATTACTATGTTGATACTCATTATCTATCAAAAGTGGTTGTGTGAATCTCATTTGGGATTGCATATTAGGAAAACCATGTTACACTTCGGTTATTACCAGGTTTGAATTAAATAATTTAGTAAAGCAAATCCCACCACTAGAGTCCTCTCATGACCTGGTGTGCAAGTGACTCAATGTTCTTTAAGGCTATTCCATTGCTATTAGAGTAGTGGTGTCAAACTCTAAGAAGACCATTAAACCATACATAAGGATCCCTATAGGTCATACTTTGACTTAGAAAGCCACACATATTTATGTTTTTTTTTTTTATTAATACATCAACTCATTAACATCAGATAGGAATCCATCAACAAGTATTTATTAATTGCCTATGAAACAATTTATTTTCAAAGAACTTACACTCTGATCCAGGAGAGACAACAAGTAAGTATATAGAGAATAAGTACAAAGTTAAATCGAGGTAGTTGGGGAGGGAAGATACTAGTAGTTATGGGGAGAGGAGCATTCAGGAGAAGTTTCTTGTAGAAAATGGTACTTTAACTGAATCTTAAAAAAGAGAATTCTTTGAGTTGTAGGTGAGGAGGTGGTGGTGTGTGTGAGAGACAGGGAAAAGTTCAGTTTGTGTGTGAGAGACAGGGAAAAGTTCAGTTTGGCTGGATTGCACTGTGTAGAAAGCGAGTAGTAAAAGACTAGTGGAAAGATAAGTTGGTGCTAGCTTGTGAATTACTTTAAAGCAATTTTTTTATCCTAGGGGCATAGAGCTGGGGCTGTGCTTTCCATTGCCTGGTGTAAATTTGTTAATTTTCAGTTGCTTGGTGGTTATGGAAGGCATTGTATTGTAGTGGAAAGATATCTGGGTTTGAATCAAGGCTCTGCCATTCTGTAGCTCTGTGATTGTGATTAGATCATTTAAATTGAATTAATTAAATTAATCAATTAAATTTGTAATCAAGATTAAATCAATTAAATTTGTAAAATGTGGTTAATAATACTAAAGGACTATGAAAGTATTTGTAAATCTTATTCTTGGAAGATCTTCAAGGGATTCATGAGTGTTAGGGAAAGTTCTTTAGGGAATAGCATGGAAATAAAGGCTATAAAATTTTATCCTTTTTAAAAGCCTTTAGAAGCATTTTGAAGGATAAATTTGAAATTTTGTTGTCTCAGATTATTTTCTTATATTTACATTCTGTCTCAGGCCTATTCTTTATTTGTTTGTTTCCGTTTTTTGCTAGGCAGTGGGTTAAGTGACTTGCCCAGGGTCACACAGCTAGTAAGTGTCAGGTGTCTGAGGTTGGATTTGAATTCAGGTCCTCCTGACTCCAAGGCCTGAGCTCTATCCACTTTGCCACCTAGCTGTCCCTCAGGCCTATTCTTTAAAATAAGAGAGAGTGCTGATTAAATTCTG